AATTATTTAAACTTCTCTAATTTTTTTGTTTTCATTCGCGGCGAACAACAGCCCATTTCACATTAACTTGCTGAAAAACTGTCTCAATTTTGTTTACAGTATGTGAGGCTGGACTTCTCCGCAAGTGGTGAGGTTAGCTCCATGACCAACTTGAAGACGGGCCTGAAAGTTCCCCTGAGCCAGAACTTCTTCTACTACGAAGGAATGACAGGCAACAACACCAAGGGAGAGTTCCAGGCTTCCGGGGCCTACATCTTCAGACCTCAGAAGAACGAACCGACGAAACTCTCACTTAAATTCTTTGCTGGCATTCAAAGGGTAAGCTGGTACTGTGGGTGGTTGGTGGGTGCTCTGGTGTGGTTTGCTCCTTCTTTCCTATCAAATGTCTGTCTTCCTGATCTCTCCTCCTTCTTTTTTGTGTTTGTTACTCTCTTGTAACACCTCTAATCTTTGACACTTAAATGACCTTATTGTGTGTGCAAGTGACGCAAAAATCTTACTAAAACTAAAACAAGCAAGTACAGAAAACTCATTTTGTAAATAACCGTCAAGCCTGCTTTAATGGAAATCTGCATAAGACAATCACCTGTAAACACGGCCACTTCCCATTTCCTTCCTTTCAACTGTCTATGACAACCGCTTTTCTCTTCGACAATGGGTCGTCTTAGGCTATTTCGTCTGTAATTTATACATCAGTGTTGTTGTCTTTTTCAACCAATGACACTCAAACTAACTATGATAGCAGTGGTAATGTCAGTGCTTCCAGTTTCATGTGTTTCTGCAGATTTATGTGGTTTTGAATGTACTGTTAATTGATGTTGATTAGGAAAATGACTGCCAGTTAAAAAGAAAAGTTCTGAGAGAGTGAAATATGTTCTGCATTTTGTTTCTCTGAATTTGGTTTATTTCTCTTACGCCTCTAAATGCAGTAGCACTTGTGAGGTGAGGCCATATCTTATGTGAAAAATAAATGTCACTTAGTTACTCGACTAAAGCAGGGGTTGTGTGTTACTTCAGTATGTCTAGGGTTCCTTTCTCATGTAACAGCTTTTGTATAATTCTTGAGGACTAGGATCAAAGATGGAGACAACAGTATGTCTGTCCAGTTGCAGGGATGCTCTTTTTCCTTTTTTTCCCCCCGTGAACATTATCTCCTTTATTTTCTCTGAAAAGAACAGTTATTATTCTTAGCATTATTTTTCTGTTTAACCCTATATTAGTTGTGTGTATTGACTGCCTTTTATTTTGTTTCCAAATGCAACTTCCTAAATTTTTCAGATATTTTAACAAAATCCCTGTAGCTGGTTCTGTCTTTCCTGTCTGTTTTTCTTTATTGTGTGCTTGTGCCTCCCTTTAACTCAAACAAATAAATGGATCATTCATCATCATCATCATCATCATCATCATCATCATCATTATCAGCGACTAAAAAATTCCCCTTTCTTTTGTTGTGGTGTTTTTTTTTAACAATGTCTATACATTTTTACGTAACCTACAAATATCGGCACCAAAATCAGGACACGGGACCAAAAAATCCCCCCTAAAAACAAATAAATCATTCCTCTGTCAGGGTGTGCTGGTACAAGAGGCGTACCAACAAGTGACCAACTGGGTGAGCCAGGTGTACCGTATTTACGAGGACAAGCCGTACGTGGAGGTGGAGTGGACCGTGGGACCTGTACCAGTGGCGTAAGTGTCCAACAGAATTACGTTTGTTTGGGGTTGATGATTTCGCCGATATAATCGTAGTTAGTTTGGCGGGGACTCTGTTGTGTGGTTTGCTCTTTCTCCTCCTGTCAGACATCTATTTTTTCTTATCTCTCTTCCTTCTTGTCTTTGTATGTTATTCTCTTGGACACCTTTGATTTTCAGCACTTTTATGTTGTAGTTGTGTTGCAAGTGCTGTAAAACTTGTTAGAACTAGAAATAAAATGAAGAAAAGAAACATAAGATTTTGGGGTGGATTTGTTAGCTCAACACAGTCGGGGTGTTATCACATAAAGAGTTTTGTCAAGTTTGTAATCTGTGCATATAGTTGTTGTTTTTTTTAAAAGATAATCTTTTTTAGAAAAGAAAGGCACTGTTTTTAGACTACTTTTAGTTTTTTGTTTTCATATTTTTTGGGTTTTGACATTCTTTGCTTGGCCCTGTTTCTTTTGAGGGAAAATCAGGCCAATTTTTTAAATGTTAAAACTATTTTATCATAAAACTTATTTATAGACCTTTTTAAAAAAATAGGTAAAGACATACTTCACTAAAGGTTCATTGAGCTTGATGTGTAGAAACAATAAAGAAAAATATGAAGATTTATTAGTCTTTCATCAGCCATTTAGTGAATCTTGGCTGTAATGTGTAGCTCTAGCTTTGGTACTTCTTATTCCTGACTGGTTTATTTTTGTTTACTCAGGGATCACATTGGAAAAGAAGTCATCACACGCTACCACCTTGATGGCTTCGAGAACAAAAAAACTTTCTACACTGATGCCAATGGGCGTGAGATCTTGGAGAGGGTGTAAGTTCTTGCTATTACGTGGCCCAAGCTGGATAATGAGGGAATATGGAGTGTTCTGAGAACAGATACTGTCCAGATGTATTGTTAGATAAATTTAGAGCTATTAGCGTGTATTTTTGTTTATTGGGCTGCTGTTCTGTTTGTTTTGTTTTTTTAGGTGGGGACGGCTATAGATTTACAAGGTGTACACCTGAATCAGAATGCTGTTTGTTATATATAGATCGTGTCAGTTTGTTAGTGTTTGAGCGCTTAATCAGCTGCTTGCACTGTATGCTTCCCGGGAAGCTGAGAATGTTTCGGAGTTCTATTGTCTGCTGGGGTTATAATATAGTGTAAAGCGCATAGAGCCTGCTGTTGGGTGGGGATATGCGCTATACAAATGCTATTTATTATTATTTATTATTATTATTATATATATCAAGAGACTATCTTTGTGATGTGTGCAAAGCCTTTCAGATGCAAACTCTTTGAAGCTCCTCAGTTCTCTACAATGCCAAAGCACTGTAAAATCAATTATTTCACTTTCTTTGATTGTGCTTTTTAAAAAGTTGAGCAAATTATAAATACTGTTTAATTTTATTTCTATTGATTTTTTGCTGTAAATGAATTTATTTGTCAACAATGTGAAATTGACTGAACAGTACTGTTTCTTCATACACAGCCTGAATTACCGACCCACTTGGCAACTGAAACAGACAGAACCAGTGGCTGGCAACTACTACCCTGTGAATTCCTTCATCAGCATCAAGGTAAGTCTGACCTATCCTTGGGCCATAGATGTGTTGACTTTCTAGCTCTTTGAGACTTCAATATTCTGTTTGTTTAATTTTTTTCAATAGTCTTAGAAATGGCCTGCATAATAAAATTAGATGTCTTATTATGCAAAAATGGACACTATCAACATTTAACATAGTCCTCAATTCTCTTATTGATACCACAGATGTCTTTCCTGGACCCTATTCTGCTTTTATTTCAAGAAATCAAGTGAGCTTGGCTGTCTCCCTTTGAAACAAGTCGTCAGTTTTCTTGAGTCCTATTTTTTGGTTCTGAGTCCTATTTCTTGTTTTTTAAAATCCAGTAGTCTCTGAGCTTGTGCCTTTCGGTACAGTGCCATCTTTTAATAGGTGGAGGTCTTCAAAAGTTGCTTTTTTTATTTTGTTATATGGTATTGTCTGTGATTGGGATGGGAAAAAGTTGCCATCTAAGATCCTCTAGCTTGGGACAATTGAAGAGCAGATGCTGGACTTTTTTGTAAATGTGGTCCCAAAGTTAGCTCATGGGTGGTTTTTACAGGGTTGATTCTGTTGAGGTGCTAGTTCAGAAACATGTGCTGTTTTCAGAGATGGAATATCATTGTTTGTTCCCTTCTGTTGAGGGCTTCTATGCTGTTTGTTTAGTACTCCCTTCTCACATGGCTGTAAACAGGTCTTGCCTTTCTGTTATCCTGTTTATGAGACTACTGCTTCTCCTTTCACTTGACTTATGTAGCGTTGATGTGACTCTCTTTGTTGCAAGTTTGCAATTTCTTTTTCGTTACATATGACCTTATGCATTTACGAGCGCCGTAAAACTTTACTAAGACAAACATTTTTTGTTGTTTATTTTAATTAATTAATTAAATTAATTTATCTCTCTATCTATTTATTAGTCTATCTATCTGTTTATTTATTTATGTATTTAATTTTTTTTTCTCGACAGGACACAAAGAAAAATGTTCAGTTCACAGTGCTGGTAGACAGAGCTCAAGGTGGGACCAGCCTGAACGAAGGCGATGTAGAACTGATGGTATGATTAAAAAAATTTTTTTTTCAAAATTTTGATTGAATTATGACATCCAACTTGATACAATGTAAATTATATTGAAAAATGGTGAAATGGTACAGGTTTAATGCCTCTATCAACACTATTATGTTATTTAAGAGGCAGGGCGCCCGAATTAAACCTCCATCTCCGAAAGGACAGAGCCAAGTGGGAAATTTGTGTGAAGCGTCTATCCCAAGGACACAATGTCGGAACGCAAAACACAATGTCGGATTGAGCTGAGGCTCGAACCCAGGAACCCGAAGCCGCAATTTCACGATTACGAGTCCTGTATCCTAACCAGTAGGCTACCAACGCCACCTAAATTATATTGGAAGAAATACACTGTGTCCACTGCAAGGACATGAAGCTGAAAAAAAATGTTACGTTACATTAAGAATGAGAAAACTTCAGCCCACTGTGAATTGAATCCTGTACTTCTGAGTGTTATTTAAGTTTGTAATCCGCCGTGTGACTGGGTCAGTTTATGGTAATAACACGAACCTGCTCTTGGTTTACACCCATCTACTATTGGATGAATAGAGCTTTGTATTTGTGCACAATGAAATATGCATGATATCCTGGTAACCTGTAGTTTTCAGAAGTGGTGTCAGACATAATGTATCTTATTCTACTTTACAGCATGATACTCATACAAAGTCTGGTACTACTTCTTAGTTCAAAGTATCAAGAGAGACAGATAGTCTGGTCTAATATGGTGAAATTGCAGTTTCTGCACTTTGTTGCTGGATTGTTTCTTGGGCCAAAAATGTTTTTTTCTGGGGGAAAAAAAAGAAAGTGGGCTTTTTATGAGTGCATAAAGTGTTTTTTAATGTGTAATTGGGTTCAATGAAAATTTCTGCCCCAACTCTGTTGCTATGTACCGTGGGAAATGCAACCAAGTATAAAATAATATTTGTCATCTCTATGGAAAATGGTGTGTCTTCTGATATCTTTCGTCATTTGTCATTTATGCTTCAAAACAACTATTTCCACAGCTTCATCGTCGTTTGCTTGTTGATGATGGAAAAGGCGTTGGAGAAGCTTTAGATGAGAGGGACATTGATGGAAAAGGCTTGGTGACCAGAGGTGAGGAGTAAAAAAAGAGATGTTATGGAAGTAGTCAGTGTTGCAGTACATCATTTATGTGGTGAGGGTTCCATAGCAGTACATCATTTATGTGGTGAGGGTTCCATAGCAGTACATCATTTATGTGGTGAGGGTTTCATAGCAGTACATCATTTATGTGGTGAGGGTTCCATAGCAGTACATCATTTATGTGGTGAGGGTTCCATAGCAGTACATCATTTATGTGGTGAGGGTTCCATAGCAGTACATCATTTATGTGGTGAGGGTTCCATAGCAGTACATCATTTATGTGGTGAGGGTTCCATAGCAGTACATCATTTATGTGGTGAGGGTTCCATAGCAGTACATCATTTATGTGGTGAGGGTTCCAAAGGGCAATGGAATTAATTTTTGTGCAGTTTTATTTCTAATGTTTTTTTGTGTTTTTTTTTTACTTAACTCAATAGAATGACCAAACACAAAATGAGAATAGACTTCTGCTTTCCTCTTGGGAAAAAAAAAAGAATGGTGATCTGAACATATAACCTCAAATTGTATGGATTGAATTACCTAATTTAACGTATTCATACAAGGTATCTGATCCCATACAATCGGCGGATTCCAAGTAGTGTCCTTTTAGAAATTTTGATTTATTGCTCCATTTATTATTTCATTATTTTACTCAAATCAATTCTATTGTTAGTATTATTGTTTTTTATATTGATGTTATGACCGTGTTTCTTCTTCTTCTTTTACTTCTTCTTCTTTTTCTTCTTCTTCTTTTTCTTCTTCTCATTATCAATATTTGTGTTATGATAATCATTAGCATTATTAATTTATTTATTATTTATGTATGTATTTATTTATTTATTTATTTAATTGATGGGTTTTTTTTTGTTTTTTCTTAATTATCATTAATACTGCCCTTAATCCATAAACGTGTTATCGATAAAAATAGACGGTAACATAAATGATGACACTATAGGGGGGGGGATGAGAAGGGGTGGGGGGAGGCAATTACAGCGCAGCGAATTATAGGCGATTTCCAGGTTGAGAACCATAGATATGGGGTACATAGAAGCGGAACCAATAAATTGGCAAAAAGATATTATTAATCCGAATACAGGAAAAAGAGGCTAAAACAGCACCTGGACATGGATGGCTGGTGCCTCTATAAATAAATCATTGATGGTCAGGTCAGGTTGTTGTTTTTTTCTTATATGTATGCAGTTGACAAATGGTTTCACAATGTACATTTCTGTCTTTTGATTTTGTCAATTGTATTAAACAATTGATTCTAATATTGAATAAATAATTCTGCACTTCACAGAACCTGGCGCCTTCTCGAGATTAGGCATTATACAAATGTTCGTAATTTTTTAAAATAATAATGATAATACTATTTATTATTATTATTATTATTATTATTATAATCATTTATACATCATCATTTTTATTATTGTTGTGTAGGTGGTTGGCGGGTGCTCTTGTGTGGTTTGCTTCTTCTTTCCTAACAAATGTCTATCATCCTTATCTCCCCTCCTTCTTTTTTGTGTTTGTTACTCTCCTGTAACACCTCTTAACTTCAGCAGTTATATGACCTTATTGTGTTGCAAGTGCCGTAAAACTCTCACTAAACCTATTATTGTTGTAATTGTTATAATTATTGTTGATATGATTCAGGTACCCACTACCTGCTGTTGGACAGCATTGAGAACTCGTCTCGTCTGTACCGCCCTACGGCCCAGGATATTTTCCTCACTCCAGCCATCTCCTTCTCTACCGCCGAAGTCTCTCCGGTGCAGTACGTGACCAAGTTTAAAACCCAGGTAAGACATTCAGGGGGATATTTCTTGTTTTGTTTTGCCATGGCTACCTGAATTCTCTACATTTCAGCATTCCCGGTTTTTTTTGGTTTTTATTTAAAATTTTATTTTTAAAAATGGTTTTTTTTGGTGTAATTACCATTAAGTGCTCCCCTTACTATTACATTGAGACTTGCGATCTGCAAACTTGTAGTGTTTTTTTTTAAAGTTCAAAATTATATTGGTGCCTTGATCTGTCTCTCAAGCATTTTTTACTGGGGTATAACAAATAACAATGTCATGTATTATGGTTGCATTTTTCTGTGTGTGTGTGTGTGGGGGGGGGGGGGGGGGAATGATGTTGCTAATTGGTTTCCTTAAAGTTTTAAGGGAAACCGTCAGTGTGCAGTCTATTATCTCTTAGTGTTTTCTCCAGTGGAGGCAGACAGTTGTTAGCTGTAGTTAACTGGCTGTACAACACCTTTGATCAATGGGTGGTAAAAGATCTATGCTGAAAACTATGGAATTAATCCTATTTTTGAAGGGGAGGGTGAAGAGAATGTCTGCAGAAGAGAAAGGATTTTATAAAAATATACTAATGCTCTGAGGTCCATGGGAATGCTAACCTGTACTCTTCACTTTTAAAAAATATTCTACATAGGTTACAGAATGTTAATATTGCATTTTATTATGTATTTCAATTCATCCTATCTCTGGAAAAGTTATTATTTATTATTTATTATTCTGGACTCTTTTACAGCATCATATGAAAGTTTTTCTCTTCTAAGTTTTGTTTTTTTTAGCTACCGCTTATACTGAGGTGTCATTGGGAGTTAGAGATATCTGGCTGTAGCAAACTGAAAAGCCTTTCTTTGTCCAGAAATTGCAAGCTGTTGAAATTTCTTGTAAATTATGAAATTAAGTAAATGTGAGGAGTGCTGACAAAATGAGTTACTTCTCGCAATCTGCGAATGGAGGCATTGGCCAAAAATCGACACTAGGTCAAACTTGTAGATTTTCTATTGTCATATTTTTTAACAATAACGTCTCTTTTATTATTTCATACTTTTAATTTGTTAAAACTTCAGCTTTAAGCATGATGTATCTATTTCCTTAACACCTTGCCGCCTCATCTCACCAATTGGCGATGTTTACCACCCAGTTTCTTTGGATTTTCCCCAAAATATGATGGCAGAGTGTTTAGGCTTTAATATGAGAAGTAACTCATTTTGTCAGCACACTTCCCATTTCCTGACTTTTTTTTAGTTTTCTTTGATTGTTTCCTGCCCTGTGGCTGTTTTTACTTCTTCTTGACTGTCATTGATTCTTTTTTCCAGTGGAGCGCACTGAAATCTTCCCTGCCAGCCAACATTCATTTACTGACCCTGGAGCAGTTCTACCAAAGCGGACCTTTGCCCACAGCGTCTGGGGAAGTGCCGTACCTTGTGAGGTTTGAACACTTTTACGAAGTGGGAGAGGACAAAGAGTATTCAAAACCCGTGAGCTTCGACTTGAAGGTAAGCAAAGCGCAAAGACCTGGTGGGCTTGCTGATCAAAGAACAGAACATTTGAAACTAGTACAACGGCCACCTGTTTAAGACAATTACCTGTATGAATGACAAGATCTACTTCCCACTTACCCCTTTTCATTTTATGATACATTATGATAATGACACCTTCCAAGACATCTACCTTTTCTCCTCAACACTGGGTAGCCGTCTTGGAAATAATCGACTATAGTTTTTCATTATTTAAGAGTCTATGTATCTTAATGTTTAATAAAATGAAATGTTTGTAGTACTTGCATAAAAAAAATTTTTTTAATGAAAATTTAAGGGAACTTATTTTTCTCCGTGCGGAAAAAACTATTCTGTTTGTTGACATAGTTCTCTGTTTTCTGCCTTTTAGAAAATTGTAATAGTTTCATTTTTAAGACTTATTGTAAAGTATTTCTGAAATCCTAATAAAAAAATAAATAGTAGTCCAATTTTTTTTATACCTTCTTATCAGTGTGATAAAGTTTTTAAGCTGATTTCAAGATATTTGCTTTTATTTCACAATGTTACTGACTTGTTTATGATTAGTGATATCCCAGGGTTTATTGGCAGAACAGTTTTACCTCAAAAAGATTGCTAATTAAATCCTTTCTTGTGGTGTATTTTCAGAACGTATTCAGTCCCTTCGTCATCTCTGAGATCCAGGAGCTGTCTCTGGGAGGCAACATTCCTATTGATGAGGTGAAGAGGCTGCAGTGGAGGACTTCAAACACTTCAGGTAGGAAAGTGTTACAAGTTGTCCTGAATATTGCTCTTGCTAGGCGGTAGACACATCTTCAAATACAGTTGAACCTGCTGTAAGGACCACCTGTCCTAGGCAATCACTTGTACAATTGACCAACCTCCCCCCCCACCCCTTTGCATTTTTCTATTTTAAACGATCATGTAGCTGATCAAGAAGACAAACAACAGGAAGGAGTGGGGTACCATGATCGTCAGTGTCTGCTTCAGACCTGACAACTGAAAAAGAAAAAGAATATGTGTAATTGATTATGGTAATGATGAATGTCTATACCAGCCGGTTCTTGATTTATCAATTGCACTTAAAGTAAATTTGTGACTGATCACATTGGCTTTGATATACATTCCTCTCTGTACTGTAAAGGAAGTCAAGGCTGCGGCATGAAGTCAGTGATCTATTTTCATCACAACAAAACTTACCTTTGAGAAAATCCTGTGGGTGAAACGAGATCTTACTGGCGAGGCTGATAGCTCATGCTGCTTCTTTAGAACTAGTTTGACTGAGTTGAATAGGAAAGGCTTATTTGATACTAGGGAGCCAAAGGACTAGTCTAACAGAGTGGCTTTCTATATCTTGCTTCTTAGAATTCTTTTAAAGGATTCAGATATCTAAGTTGTTTTTTTTCTTATGTAAAAAAAATGGATTGTGTCAGTTCAAGCCCGCAGCTTGACACAGTGAGGATATCATTTTCAGTCGGGCGCACACACATACACACACATGAGCACGCACACACTCTCATACACATGAGCAAGCATGCACACACACACACACACACACACACACACTAATTTCCTTGTGGTGCTTTTTCAGACTCCAAGTCAGAGCAGCCGACAAAACACTTGACTGGTACGACCTTGACCTTGAGTCCCATGGAGATTGTGACTCTACAAGTCAACGTCAGAGTCTGACTGACCTGCAGGATGAAATAGACGCTCGGCGGCAAGGAGTGCCGTCAAGACCTCATTTCAACTGGGCTTTCAGTAAACTTTTCATCATTTGAGTGTATTTCTGTGTATATGTGGCCATGTGTAAGATGCGTCATCAAGTATGTCTGATTAAAGGTTGTTTGTTTGTGTTGAGAACGTAATTGGCTGCTTGCACTGTATGCTTCCCTCGAAGCTGAGAATGTATTTGAGTGTTCTAGGTAGTAATATGGATTGTAAAGCACATAAAGCAAGCTGTTGAGTTGGGATGAACTCTATACAAATGATATTTAGTATATTTTCCATACTAATAATATGCGTGTATAATTGTCAAAAGGAATGTTTTAAAAGTGTTAGTAGTACCATATCCTGCTTGTGTAAGAAAAATAATTTAATTTGGATGAGATCAAGGGGCAACTCCTAAACAAGTGCTAAAGTTTGCTGTATATAAGTTGAGCCAACTGTGTGCTTGAAATGTGAGCCTGTAATGATTCTAAAAGCATTTATATGAATTGTTGACACTGATCACCTTGGTAAAAATGAATGCTCAAATAAGTAAAGTCTTTATTGTCATTGTCAGTGTAAGTTTTTTCCTGAAGATTTTTCAGAGTCACAGCATTAATTCATAGCCTTAATCAGATTGTTTGAATGTTGCTGGCTGTTTGTTTACCAGCAGAATTTGTGAAGGAGACAGTAAAAAATCAGTGTTCTTTTTTCTTTTCTTTTTTTGATCAGGTTTTGTTTTTTGTTATACTCGAGATTTCATATAGAAGATTTTTTAGGACAAAATGTAAGAAGTATTACTACATTACATTTTAGTGAACATTTTTAATTAGATGTGTGATGCCAGTCATATCTTTAAAGGTACAGGACTAATTTTTTTACTTTGTCAGCTGGCCTGCTTAAGTTCATTTCGTCGGCAAGCTGTGCTAAGCTCAAAAAACTATATTTTTTCAAGATGGAGAAAGAAAATTTATTCTTTAAAAAAAATTGTACCGAAATTGTGTCTGATCTATTCTTGCTTTTTGCAACTTTTTAAATTTGAATTTTAACTAAATATTTTTGACCATATGTAACTAATACTACAAAGTAAAAAACTGCAGTTTAAACAATAAAAAAGAATTCTGGTTTTAGTACTTTCGGACAGCTGGCACACAATTTGTGTTTACTCTCTGAGTTTCATATAGCAAATAATGCTTGTATAATTTATTCTTTCAAAGAGAAATTTCAGGTATTTCAAAATTGAAATTATTGTGGTTGTGGTCTGTGTTACATTTTGGAGCTTTTGCATGGTCATTGCGATGTTCGGAAAGTGTATTAATGTATCATCTATAATTGTGTCAGAAGAAACTGAGTATATCGCTACAAGGTAAAGAAATATTTTATTCGTTTTAAGAATGAAATTTTTATGATAACAGTCTCAGTTACAAATTTGGGGCTTGTGACATTATTGACTGCTCATGTGCTCACAAGTGATCTTTTTTCTCTACTCATCTATTTTAGTAACTGACTAATACTGATATATATGTAATACATGTATTGAAATGGTTTATTTAATCTTTATAAGTCTGAAAGTAGTTCATATGTATGCATCTTTTTTTTCTTTCTGCTTTTGCCTGTTTGGCTTGGCACTGCTTACACACACTCACAGCTGGCTGTCGAAAAGTTCTGAATTTTTATATTACTTTTCACATGAATCAAATCTTGATGATAACTATGGTGTGTTTTTCTTGACTGAACCGAGTGATTCTAACACTTTACTTAAATGTCCTTTGTTTTATTAATGCAACTGAATAACATGTGTATGCGTGTTATAATCTCAATTTGTTTACAATTTTTAATTAGTTAGTATGATTATTTAAAGTTTTCTTTTAAAAAAAAAGAAGAAATAAATAAATTCTGAATGTATTAGCCTTTAGCTTTTAAGAAATTTTTAACATACACTTTTATGTCTCACGCAAAATTTTTGGAGAAAAGTTAGTGTTGGTGGTGTAAATTTTAGACAGAGGATGAAATGAGAACTAAAAGTTGATATAAATATTTATTTGACGGGTGACTCTCATCCTACAGTACAATAACCTTTCTTATGTTCACCTTAGAACTTCTTCTAGCCTATTTAATATCCTCAGTACTGATGGCCAGTTTCTTTTCCTACTATTATTACTTCCTCATTTGTAGTGTCCTAAATTAATTGTGTTATGGAAGAATATCCCTTCGCGCATGGCAATATATTTTTCTATGAACAGTCGAATAAAATTTGTAAAGTATTACACACACAAGGTTGTTTTTTTGTTGGGTTTTTTTGTTTTTGTTTCTTTACATACATTCTCGGAGAGAGAGAGAGGAGATTGGCGCTCATATGACCTTATGCAGTTGCGAGCGCCGTAAAACCTACTCTACTAAAAACAAACAAGAGAGAGGAGGAATGGAGAAAGGAATGATGTGTTGTGTTGTTATGTAAAAGTTGATCAGATTTATCATTTGTTATTAATCGATTATAGATCTACTACACACCTGCCCAGTGCTCAAAGCACTAGGAAGGAAATAATGGCTCAACCCTGGGCAGGGAGACCCAAAAATCTACAGGAGCCTGGAGGATCTCTGGCGAAATGCAGCTTTTGCACTACCAACAGGAATGTCCATTTAAAGATGAATAAAAGAGACTTTAGAGGTCTAAAGATGCGGTGTTTCCCTCTCATTCAATAGGTCCTGGGTTTGAAACCTGACGGATGGAAAACGTTCTTTTCTTAAAAAGCTTCTCCTTTCAACCTTCCTGCTCTCTAGTCATCTGGGCTCCTGACTCTTTCTGCTGCCTTTCTACTGCTAGGTCTATCCCTTGGCCCCTTACTGCTGTCTTTCAGCCTCGCCCGTGCTCTAAGGGTAGGTAAGATCTAACAACTAGCCTTCCGGATAAGGGCGACAAGTCTCGTCCGGGGTCCCGTGTGCAAGTTATGCACGTTAAAGACCCCTTGATGGTCCTAAAGTCGACAAGAATAGGCTACGGATGCCACCTGGGCAAAATTCAAACTTGGTCCCTACCAAATTTAAAATGCGTAATTTGTCCTGTGTGCTCATATGACATTATGCAGTCGCGAGCGCCGTAAATCCAAAAAGAAAAGTTGAAGTTGAACAAGAGGAATTTGAAAAAAAAAGATCCAGCGTTGGTTTCTCGTGTAGGATTTAAAAAAACAAAAAAACATCTATACATGATATATGACATGTATAGTTATACCATGACTGCTCCATAAGTGAAATGGCTGTCACAAGGACTGACTTCAGAATCACGGTTCCCAGTTTGACCCATTTATAGCACAGACTGCTTTAACTCACTCAGAGATGTGGACACAACTGTTCAGCGGGCTACTGCCTACTTCAAAAGTAAAAGAAAAGATTTTAATTTTATACTCTCAATTACTATCGTGCAAAAGATCAGTATTCAGACTTATTTGCGGTACAGTTGAACCTACTCTAACTAACAGCCACAGCTTCAAGACAATCACCTGTACAAACGACCACTTCCCACTTTCCCTTTCATCATCTGATAATTTTGATTGTTCTGAATCCCTCTCGTTTTTTAGGACTTTAACAACTTAATACCCTGGTTAATGGGAGAGGGATTCTGACTTTAAAAGTGTATGTATAGTATAGTCAACCACCAATACCTCTGTTTTACCATGAAGGGTTTTAGCACCTTTTTAGTTTTAAAGTTCGACAAAAAAAATGTTTAAATTACAACAAAATACTCTTTAAAAAAAGCACAAAAACACACGGGAACATTTTTCACTTAATTTATTATTTAAATTGAACATCCGACGGCAGTAGAACTGGCCGAGTCACAAAACAAATGACGTCATAATAATAATATATGGCGATGAGATGACCAGGATAGTAAATGAATGGTAATGAAAAATAGAAGAAAAGAAAAGTATGCTTGTTCTTGCTCAGATGATGGAGGATGGATACATGCTGTAAAAAATAAAAGATACAGTATATGGAGATACAAGAATGTCCTGGAGTGGGCGATTAATAGGGGCCCTTTTGTGACCTGCTATTCCTTATTTTTATAGTTACGGTCTGTGGCGTAACAACAGTTATGCACTTCGCTGTCTCACGCAGGAGACCCGAGTTCGATTCCTGAGTGGGGAGAACATTTCAAATTTTAACGAGTATCTCAATCGTATTCTTTCTGCTGGGATGGTGTATTTCTCTCAGTACTGGTTGGCCCTGACAGGCAGGATCGGAAGCCCTCTTCCTAATTGATCTAAAAAGTGTCGGGGAAGGGAGGGGAGGGGGGAGAAAAGACGCCTACGTAAAGAAATAGAGTTACGGTTATCCGTCTAAAAATATCGTTGTGTGTGTATTCTTTGCTAAATCAACGGGTTGTTGTGGCACAGACTCACCATAAATTTCTCCACTCCTGGTTTTGTAGTGAAATGTGAAGTGAAGGCATTCCAAGAGAAGAGGTCAGTTTGGAGCTTTCGTCTTGGGCTACGTACTAGAAACCCCCCACAAAAAACAGCCTTTTTGTACGTATACGGAGTAGATCAGGCGGTTGGCGAGCGCTCTGGTATGGTTTGTCCCTTCTTTCATATCAAATTTACCCATATCTCTCCTCCTTCATTTACTTATTATGTTACTCTCTATTAAAACTTCTCTAATCATATATAACATAACTGTGTTGCAAGTGTTGTAAAACGTACTGAAAGTTAAACCGAGCGGACTGGGGTGTATAATATATAATACATGTATTAAGACCCCAATGGAATAAACAACAAAAATCGCGAACTCGAAATGATTGAGTTATAGCCTTTAGCGTGTGCACTTGATTCCATTGTTCACTGAATAAAATAGGCCTACCCCAAAAACTGTCAAACTGAAACACAGACTCAATGGGGAATTTTCAAAAGAGCGTATTAAAAAAAAAACAACAAATTTCAGTATATTTTTATTTTAAAATGTGAGTTTTCTCCAAGCTAGAAAACGAGACTTAGATCGTTTTCCCCCCACATAGCTCTTCATGTGTTGGAATACACCACCTTGTTGGCTCAACATAGGTCAATATGAAGGCGGAGTTCTCGAGCGAGTTGCTAAAATAAACAAGCCAAGAAGGAAGAAAAGAAGAAAAAGACGGTACACCAAAGTAAATAGCACGATGTACATCTGAACAATGATGTCCTTATGTACTCTAGCAGTCTACCTTAACTGGGATTCATTCAGACCGCAGACTAATTATAGTGGATGGTATTCGGATTATTCAAGAGTATTCCACATTTTTGCCCCCCCCCCCCCCCCCGCCCTTTTTCCCTCTTTCCTCACACCACAATGCCCAATTCCAAATCCCCACCAGCAAGGTTTTGTGTCTGAAAAGAGTTGGAAAAGAATATATATATATATATTAAAGTCAAGTCGATTAGTTTCAAGCTACAATTTCGTGACTCAGCTCACTGATATTGGTGCACGTTTGGAAAGATGCAGGGAGAATTTTCCTATTTTTATAAATTCTTGACACATAGTGCGGCATGTAGCTTATTGTTTATCGTTCTTGCATGTGTGTCCAGATTTAAAGTCCTCGTCAAGAAATATAATATGTATAGGAGGTTTTCAGTCGTGCTTTACAGAACTGTGTCCTTAAGAATATGAACAAGTTGAAAATATTTTCTTCTCCTGATTTCTTAGTGCCCCAGACACTGATAGTAGAGTCTATACAAGATAATAACATAACCATATTATGAAAATAAAAAATAATTTGTGAAAAATCGATTTTTTTAAACAACTGTATACAATGTGTAGCATATTAATATTATTCTTTTTGTATAGTTTTGGGCAGAATATTTCCAAAAAGACTAAAGAGAATGATGTTAACCCAAAGTTATTGTTTACAGAGAACTTTGTGTGATGATTATGACTGCATTTTGAAAGTTAATGCAATTTATGTAATTGAAACACTAAATATGCTTAATTCTCCATATTATTGTTATTTTGTTTCAGCAGTGTATTCTAATATTCTAATCAAAGGAAAGACATATTGGGCAGCCTTACCTAAAAAGCGACACGAGCGTATGTGGCGCTATAACTTATATTATTTGTTTATTATATTGCGATTGAACGTTTGTGCTATAATTATAATAATAACAATACGTTTTAACGATGGTTCTACCAGCACAATTTCACTGTCTTATTTTTCAAGATTGGACGGATAAAAATGTTAACGATTCTTGAGTATTTCATTAGTTATGACCTCTGCTAGACATAGGCTATGAGTGGCCTTTGGGGTTTCATGTGGGATTTCAGCGATGCCCTCCACCCATGGGATTCCAACGTTTGGTCGAGATCGTTTAAAACTTTCCCTATCTCAGCACTGTATGAACGCATGCTGTCTGCTCCGTTCAGAGGCTCAGCTTCCTTACTGCCTGCTTTGGGTGGTCTCAGGTTCGAGTCTCTTGTCTCATTCAAAGTTGCGGCATCCGCTTTTTCTTTTGATTCTGATGCTGTTTTGGCTTTTGGCGTGTCCATAGCTTTTGACCCTTCTGCGTTTTGTTTTTCTATTAAAGAAACATCTGGGTACAGTCGTTGTGTCGTATGATGTTCATTTTGTGGCATACGCTGGGGGGGAAGCCGAGGCTGTCCATTTTGCTCGTGGTGATTTTGCTTATTTTGCTGCAGTTGCTGTTGGTCACCTGTCTTGCTACTACTGTTGTTCAACAACTGTTGTCCAGATTTAATGTTACCATTTCTGTAGATGTTGCTACTGGGAGAAGTTCCATTACTGGACTTCTTGTGGACTTCCTGGCTTGCAGTTTGCGACGTTGACGTCCTTTGGAACCCTGCGCCTTTTGCCTCACCAATCTTTTCTGACGAGATCGCAGTTGGTGATCTAAGCACCGCTGGGCGGGAACTTTTCGGGCTCATGTTTGGATACGGCTTCGGCTGAGAGAGATGGGTTGGAGAAGAATGGCCTCCCGTGTTATCGTTGCTCGGAGAAGCAACTGCTTTAAACCTATCAGAACTAAAGTTAGTGCGAGTGTCATGGTGGTGGTTGTGTGTTCCATTCTCCTGAAGGTTGTTCTCTGTCAAGCTATTTAAGGAAGCTGACAAGTTTGGCTCGTTTGATCCTGACACGAGCATGGATTCTGGAACCTCAGAACCGTTCAGTTCGATTTTGATACCGTGCCAGGGCGTACTTTGGCTCCTTTTAGGACCACCACGCTCCTCTGCTCTTGATGCTGAAAGTAAAGACATGCGTCGGGAAACGTTGGGCTTTGGGGTGTCCTCAGTGTTGTAATCTGGGGGAGGTGTTTTCAGTCTGGTCGGTTTGGAGAAAGCCGATGGTCGGTCTTGTTCCCAGAGTCTTCTCTCAAGGTTCTGACTATACGACGATGCGCCGGCTCTATCGTTAGAGGAAACTTTGCCTTGATGCTGTGAAGGGTGTATGCCAGGGTTGTACCACTTTAACGGGCCTGAGTCAAAGCGAGGATTTGATTTAACACCGAAGTCAAAACTCCTGTTATGAACTTTTGGAGCTTCAGGGTTTCGAGTTTCTCCTGTGAAGAACAGGTTTCTTGCTTCAAAGAGTCCTTGATCTCTTGCATGCTCGTTTCGCTGATTGTGATCAGCTCTACCCTGAATATTTTGAGGGTTATGCTCGTTATTTACGGACGCGTGTTCGGAAAAGTTCACACTGATCCCGCTGTCGAACTGTCCATTTTGTTTCCCCGAATCCACCCTAGAACCAGCCGGATCTGCACCGGGTTTTTGAGCGAGGGTCCAATTTTGGTCGACATTTCTCACATTAACCTTCTGGCCATTTTGCATGTGGCTGGGATTGGCGTGCCTCACCACACTGTACTCCTCAGAAGGAAGTCCCACATCTCTCGACTCTGATAGGCCGTGGCTTCTCATGTCTGAAAAGCTGTTGTTCAGCCGTTGGGGTGGGCGGTGGCTTTCTGGAATGGATGAGATGACATCGTAGTGGCCGTCGCTGCTCGGGCTGGGGAGGGGCAGAGATGTTGACAGATGGTTGACGCCCACTTGGAGAAGGTCAGAGGTTGAGTGTGACGTCACTGGTCGATCCGAGAAGTAGTCGGGTTGAGGAACTTGGACAGGACTGATGTTGTTTGCCTGGTCTGAGGAGGCACCATCCTGCTTGGAGAGATAAAG